TGCAAGAAGGCAGACTCTCATTTAATGTTAGAAAAATCTTCCTAACAGTAAGAGCAGTTCAAAACTTGATCCAATAACCCAGAGAGATGGTGGGGTCTCTTTCACCTGGTGAATTCAAAGAGAAGTTAGGTTGCTCATTTGCTTCTGATTCTTCATGGTCTAACAGACATCATTTTGCCTGGACTATCTATCCATAACTGCTTCTTTGAATTCTTATAAGTGTATGTTTGTGGCATTAATGTTCCATGCTTGTGAGTTTCCTGAAAGAACCAGGTTGGCCACTGAGGAACACAGAATGATGGATCAGATGGACCATTGGCCTAATCAACCCAGCTCTTCTTACATTGCTAGATGGGTGGAAAGTCCACTGTGTTTACCAGTCTAAGCTAGATGAACCAGTAATCTCAGTACAATAGGGTTTCAAATGTGAGTCATATATCTTTGCTGTATTTGCCTGTTCATTCCCAAAACAAAATAAAAGAGCAAAAATCTCCTTTGCCCATCTCCTCTAAAAACCACCATAATCCAAATTTGCTCCACCAAACATCCTACTACTCACCTTTAAAGTGAGTCATAGGAAATAACTATTCCATTTCAATGCTAGAGGTAAGTTTACAGCACAACCCAGCTTTGATTTAAATTTGGATTGTTTATTTCCAAGACTGAGGATATCATATTAAATTCTAATATAACTTCATTCTTCTGTGCAGCTTAAGAAGACGTAACGCCCAAATCTTCTGATCCTTGTCTTCTTTAGTTTAAAGCTCATCACTGTTCCCCTTGAATATCTTTTGACATCTGCTTATTCTTATTTCAGGGTGCCAAAGGAAGTTCAGGTCAACCAGGACTTATAGGACCACAAGGAGAGAAGGTAAAATGAGGATTATGTAGAGAACTAATGTATGTGCATTCATGCTTTGAAAATTATTTTTAAAAGGTGCTTTGGAATGTATGAGACAGAAGCTTGAAAGCAGATGCAGCTTTTTCAAGAAGTCTCATTCAAGATACAGCTACCATAAGTAAGTGACCTCTTAAAACAGCTGCATCTTTTTCAGGCTCATGCAGAAGCCTGAAAATAGATGTTGTTGCTTTAACAAGGTCCTATGCTTGCC